CCAGAGATTCTTGAATTTTGGGTAAGTTTTCATTAGAATCCATATCCCCAGAAAGGAAGACCAAGAGAAGGGATAATTCTGAGGTGAGTTTTGTCCCTGGTAAGTGTGGCCTTTGAGCTATATCTCCTCCTTATGAGTATCATCAATATAATTGGGATGAGAGTTTTGAGTAAGGAACCATGTGGATTGCTTCCACTTGATTTTACCCACCACAATCAATGAAAAGGTTGCTCCTCTGAGACTCCCAGAAACATAAATAGCTCTAAACCTGCCCCTTCAGATGCAGCTATTAATACCTGAAATACCATCATTTACCAACTTTTGTCATTTCAGAGTAGGATGGAAAAGAGTTTGGGCTTTATCAGTCTTTTTGTCACAAAAGATTAGAGGAGAAGATGGTACAGATGAATTCAGACTGCGGCTTTTGTCTCCTTTTTTCTATTTCAGGAAGGACAGCCTGAACAACTCAACTGAAACCCCCATTATTTCTCAAACTAGTTCTGTCCTGTCTGGTGATAACAGGCAAGACAAGCAGACATATTCCAAGCACGTTTGGAGACTTCCTGATGTAAGCGTTCCTACAGCTTAGTTCAAAAAACAGACTCATACAAAACCAAATCAAATATTAGCTCATCAGTTTTTACTTAAAGTGGACACACAGAAAATGTCTATCCTTTGATCAACCTAAGTTTGGGGGGTTTACTCCCTCCCTTTTTCACCCTGCCTTTTTGTTTGTTTTCCTAGTGAGTATAGGTTTATTGATTTCACAAATTTTAGAATCCAATATACTTTCGCTGTATGTATGCACTTGATTATTCGTATTTATCATAAAAGACAAAACTTATCTACTGTATCTACAGATGCTTAATAGAGCTTTTTCTGAATAATTCTCATAGCTCTCCATCTCAGCTAATTTGACTGTTGATTCAACTGAATTATTAAGAGAATAAATGAATGGGGCAACTTTATCCTTCAAATGTAACTGAAAAATTCATAATTGCTACAACTTTCATGTGCTGCAGGACTCAATACTAATGAGACAAGTATGTTTTAAATACTAATAACCATAAGGAAAAAACAGTTCACAGAGAGTTTCTCATTCACACACTGTCACATCTCACCTTCTACAGTACTTTTGCCCCCCTGGGTATTTATTTACCATCTTAGATGCATCAAATAAAAACCTAACTCCTCAGATTAAACTCTGTTTCCAACCTGACAAAAACTGTTGGGACAGTTTATCTAATTTCCCAGTTGCCTTAAATTATGTAGATGAAATTAGCAGTTTGTAAGAGGACAATGGAGAGGAAACTGACTGACAAGGAAATCCTGATGGATTTTTAAGATTAAGAATAATCAAATGCCATTCTGAAGTCTTATACTGGTGAAACAAATAATCCAACAGAGACACAAAATTAACAGGAAAATGAGAAAAAGATCACATGGGTTTTTTTTTGTCTTTAAAGAAGTATGTTTCCCAGCCTGGTTGGATTTTTTAATTCTTTAAAAGGATAAAAAAAATCCTGTGATTTATCCCGTGATTTTTACAGACTGATTGTTTTTGGTACTTAAAAAAATTAAGTCTAGCAGCCATTTAGCTTAAATTTATCTGAATTTAAATGATCAGAAGAATGAACAATCCAGAAAATACATGGGATTAAAAGACATCTTAGAAACAAAAATCCTCTGCAAGCAGTTTTTACACAGCTAAGATTAAAAAATCATGCTCCATAACAGAATTAAGGAGATAAATAAATTTTCAAGCTTTGCTGCAATTATTGGCGGGAGTCATGGAATAAAAGAAATATATGATAAGTTTTGTTAGCTGATGGATTATAACCATTTTTATATAACCATTTTCTTTTACTAAGTAATAATATGCTACTGGGTCAAGGACTAGAAACTAAAATACAGCACCATGGCCATCTTGATTGCTATTGGTGCAAGCCACAGGAAAAAATTAATCAGTATACATACACACTTTTAGGCATGTTTGAATGACTCATTTTTTAGTTGTTTCTCAGTATGCATAAATTTATCAGCAAGAAGCTAGATGATTTCACTGGTAAAATCTTACAGAGCTTACTGTATCTAAGAAAGTGGCAAAGCTCTGATTGTTCATAATCATCAGTTTTCAATGGGTTATGTAACTGGGTAATATTTGGATATTTTGATAACAATAGAAAAAGATGCAAAAAAATCTAGACTTGTACAAAGAAAAATTCAAAATATTCCACTATGAACAAAAAAAATCCCATTTTTGTAAAATCCTGCCTGCAGGAACTCTAAACGGTACTTAACATTTCCCTGGGGGGTTTGATTTCAGACTGAAGCAGATAGCTGGCATAGATGATTTCAGCCAGAATTACTAGTCTTGCTAAACTTTCAATTTAACTGAAACACAGTTTTACTTGAAAAGTAATGATGTGCTCTTAGCCTTGCTCATAATTTCAAAGCTGAGACTCTGGTGAGTATTAAAACTTTGCCAGCAGAGGCACAGGATATCTGGAACTTTAAAGGCTATTCTTAAGTAATGTCGGCAGCATATGAAAATCTCTCCTTGATGTAGAAAATTTACTTTTAAGAAAATACTCTTATTGCTTCTTGTCAGTGCTGGCAAGTCGAGAAAATGGCAACAAAACTAAATAAGCTTCCTATGTGATTGATTTCTGGTATCCAGCTTATAAACACAGAATTCTCCACAAATACTGCAAACCCAAAGCATTTATGTCCTGGTGATGTTTTCCAAGGAGCTGTTAAAAGTAAAATTATTGTTTCAGCTTTAGATTTAGCCTCCTAAGAGACAAATGATGCTATAAGAGACTTGGTTTGTCTTTTTGGTTGTTTTTAATAACAGGCAAAGAGACAATAGAGGAAAGGGAGAGGGAGAAGGAGAGGGAGCTGATCCCTCATTTGCAGCTATACTGAGACTCTGATAATGAGAACCCGTGGGAGATACATTTCCCCAGTGAGGGCTCAGCTCACCGTGGGTTTTAAGATTAGGTCCCACACATGTGCAAAGCATTTTGCTTGAGGAAAGGACTCAAAATAAAATTACAGAGTTTTGTGCTTATTTTGCTTCTTATGTGGAAAAGAAAGTTCAAGACAGATTATTATTTTAGGACAGCATATCAGATGTCTTTGACAGTTGCCCTGATTTATTAACCTGCAGCTCTGGGGTAAGGGAATCAGACACTCAGATCTGGCATCAACAGGAGCCAAGCATCTAATTTCCTTTGGCTCTTCTGAAACTGCAGCATACATTTCTCAACTAACTGAAAGCAGATTCGCTTTTTCCATAACACAGAGATTTCTTTTTGCATTGTACAAATAATCTTCAGAGTTTCATCTTACAACTATATATAAAAAATATGCTGTCATATGACAATAAGATTAAAACAAGTCCAAATGCACACAGAAACGAGTGATAAAATTAACATCACTTTTGAAACACTGGCCTACAAGTAACTGGCATCAAAGTTTAACACAGGTATGTTACAAGATTTAAGATTTACTTCAGCATGAGAAGAGCAAGCCTATATGGAATCGTATAATCTGTGATGAAAATCATAAATACATAAGCAATATATAAATAATCTAATAATCTGTGTGGTAAATGTGCTTCTTTTCCCCACATTCATTATTTTCACTGGTACTCAAACCCCCAAATAGAAGAGGCTTCAAAGACAAGCTATTTATAAGCCAAATAAATCCTATGAAGAGCTATTTTGTTATGACAGAAGAGTTTAGCTCATGAGGCAGAGATAATGTAAAAACATTTTCTGAACTGTCCAAAAGCCCAAACTGTATTTTCTTGCATTGACTGAAAATACAACATTCTCTTTTCCAAGACTTTCTCTAACAGCATTGTTTTTTCTACCACTGTTCCAGATTCCTTTGTAAACATACCTTTTAAGTAAATTAATATAGTAAGAAGAACAAATATGCATTTATTCACTTTCTGTACTAAATTGGCTAATTTGCTTTTAGTCAGACTTCCAGTCTTAGCTGAAAACAAATATTAAAAAGTTCAGCACAACCAAGACACACGTTCTTGTTTACAAAATCATTAGAACATCATCATGTTCAAAGTTACTATTGTGTTTCTGAGATTCTGCTCATATTTAGAAAGCAAGCTTTTTATAGCAACTAATAACTACCTAGGACTGCTGCTTTTCCCTCTCTGTTGTGCTTTACAGTTACTGAGATCTCAAAGAACAGGTTTCACTCCATAGGTGTGGCTCACAGCAGCCTCACACAGTCAGTGGTATGTAGCAAAAATGAACATGACCGCCACTAATAATCCTGAGACTGCTGCAGAAATAAAAAAAGGCACACACACCTACAAAAAGGCAAATAAGCTGTGTTACTGACAAATTCCTGAAAATGGTCACAGACTGCACAGAGTTCTTAGCACTGCTTCAATTGTCATGTTTATGAGGAATAAAAATGTGGAATTCTCTCTAATGCATTCAGCCTTCAAAAGCGTTATGCTGTTTGACTTTCTGTACCCACAAATCTGACCCTCCCCAAAAGGTAGTGGGTATTCCAGTATAATACCCACTATCCTTTTGGAAGTCTTTCCAAATTTGGGGTTTGCTTTTTTAAATGGCAGATCAGAGGGACTATGACTTGCCCATGATCTTACTATAGAGTTTCCATAGTGGTTTGTTTACCAATGGGTTTGCTCCCCCTTTTTTTAATAAGTAAACTGGAACAATCAATGACCATCACAGAACTCAATAAAAACAATCAAATATTTAAAATTTAAGCGTAACCATGGAAGACAGCTGTTATAACGAAAGGAAGCAAAATTTATAGTAGTACATTGTTGCCAATACAGAAGAGTCATCAGAACTGTGACAGTACAGTTTTTGATGCCAGCACTTTTGCCAGCAAACTATCAGAAAACAGAGCTATCCAAGAGTCCTCAAAACGTTACTTTTTTTTTTTTCATTATACACTCAAAGGTTATAGGATTAGATTTTCAATTAAATTACCTGTCCCAACGATCTCCAGTCCAGGCTGGCACTTCCAATGTATACGTGCTGCTTATCAACAATCCAGAACGAAGACTGAAGCCGACCTTCATTATATGCTGACATGTTCATATACAACACTTCAGCACCTAGAGATTTAAGGATAAAATAAGAAATGGCATTACGTAATACAAGATAATTTACATTATTAAAAGAGAAAATGACTTCACATTTCACGGCCTCAGTTTCCAAAATTAGTGAGAGGCATAATGAAACATACCATTAAGGTTTAAAAGCAACGATAAACATTGTTACTGTCCCAATATTTATGACTTTAATTAACATTTATTTCAGTCATATGAAGAAATATTTATGTAATGCATGTCCCAAGAATAGGGAACATTCCCATGTGTTATAATGTTTACATAATTTCCTTCCACTTTAGAATCAAATAATCCTTTTTTTTCCAGCACTCTATGTTCCTAAAAATAGTTCATTTCTAAATTTCTATTCCATAGCATAAACCCCATATTGCAGTAATGATCTTTAAAATATGAACACAATTAAAACCTCTGTCTAAAAAGCAGATTCTGCTCTGCTCCTCCTGCCCTGTGCAATGGTTTGAGCAGGTATCTGCAGTGGTTGTGACATGTAACAGACCCCAACAAGAGGAACGTGGGTGGAGAATTAAGGAAGTAAGCAAAGGCTTAAATAAATTATGTTGAAACTGCTCTTAATCCTACTAATCTGTGATATTCAACCTACCACTCTGAATAGCACAGTTTTATTAATGACTATAGGCCCCTGAAATCAAAGGAGCTTCTTGTTGGCTCCATTGCATCACTAGGAATGTCTGAATTGGCCCCATCTGTATGTCTGCAGAACTAAATCCAGCATATATTTAATATTGGGTAAGTTTAGGGGATTTCTCACACCATTGCTGTTCTTTCAGTGCTCTGGTGTTTGCAAAATTAGGTGATTAATCTGAATTAATCATTGCTGAAGGCATTTTACAATAACCCACTCATCTACACATTTCAGTCATGACTAACCAGGGAAGAGAACTGACAGTAAACAGCAGCCTGGGGGACAGTGATGGTACCAGCCACCTCCTATTAAACACTCATGGGGCCTCCAGTACCACGAATTCCAGTAATGGTTGAAAATGACTCACAATTTAAAAAGAATTCCAAGATAGACAGAGAACTAAATGTATATTTTTTCATCAAATTTCTGATTTTTGATCTCCTAAGAGACATTTGACTTGCAATTTTAGGCAACAGCTAGCAGTGCTAAATATTTCTTTATTATTATGAGAACAGCAACTTTCCTTGAAAAAATTATTCTAAAAGTTCAGACATCAAGAAAAGAAGAAAAAGCAGGTAAAGGTGCCACTTACCATGAGGCAGTAAACATGCAAAATAACATATTGAGCACATTACAGACTTTGGCTCATTGGTCAATTGCATTTCGTGCAACCCAGCTACTTTTCCAATTTTTTGTGTGTTTCACATACCCACACTCATCTACGCTTAGAAACAAAGATTTTTTCCAATTTCCTTGCAACATATTGCTGCTACTTTCAATTCATGCATTAACGAGCAGAACTGTGCTAATTATTGAGAAAATGAGTGTGAAATGGAAAAGAAAACAGAAAACACTATAGCAGCTATTAAATGGTTTAAATTGTTTCCTGGTGAATAAACAAAACAAAAGCAACTGCTATTAGCTAAGGATGACCGTGCTGTAAGGCACTAAACTTCCAGCTAGTGATCCAAAAACTGTGTTTAAAATCAGGTTTAACAAAGCAGTTTGCCTTCATGATGTTTTCTTTCCGTACATCCAATTTGCAGCATTAAAGAGCAGTATGAATTTAACACCCACAACACACCTACACCAAACAGATTATAAATGAAATGTTAGGATTTTTGCATAGTAAACACAAAACAATAGGAAGTAACAATGGGTTTCCTTCCCATAACTGAGAGTATAAAGAATGACAATTTAAAACCATTTTTGAAATATTAGGGACAAACAAAAATGCTGAGTACCAAAGCTATAACAGGAGACTATTTAACCAGTAATAGTAACATTAAAAATAGCAGACATCATCAGTAACTTGACACAAAATTCAAAAGTTGTAAAACACCAGAATTTGTTGGCGTGGGTTGTTCAGACATGGGCAGAAGCAGTGGGATGGGACTATTACTCTAAGATATAAGCTAGGCTTCAATTACCAAAATAGTGAATATAGCAGTGCAGAAGATAGTGCTATCACATATACAAGTAAGATCAAAACCTGGAACCCAATTTCTTCTCCTTTTGGAAACAGCCAACTAGTAAGTGAACAGGTGAGGAAGCAGTATCTCCAAGTTAATTAATAAAAAAGTCATTTGTTGCAAACAGCAGCTGTTGTGCAGACTATTAATGAGCCCTTACCTTTTGAAGAAAGGAAACGTGTATCAGTATTGATAATTGGCTCTGTTCCAGAGCCCTTGAGATGCTTTGTTAAAACAGGCTTATCAAGCCTTCAACACAATCCACCATCCCTAGCGTGGTTCAGGTCCCATGAGGAAATTAAATTGGACGGATCAATATGTGAAGCCATAACAGAGCTCTCTGTCATGCTGCAGTCTCAATTACAAGAAGCTGTGAGTCTACTGAGTTCTACAACCAGAAGGGCACATTTGTAGGCTTGATTGCTAATAAACATGCCAAATAAATCTAACTATTTTGTTTCACTGGAGATTAAAATTCAGGATGAGAACTTAGAGAAAACCAGTGCTGTCACTTAAAACTCAAGTGGATTTGTCTGTTCCCTAAAATTGTACATTTTAAGCGCTGGGACAGGTTACACATTTTCTGCAGTAAAAAAGCCCACAAAAAAAGAGACACTGTAGGAAACAAAGCATGTTGTAAGTAACAGACATTTATCTGAGTACTTTTTCTTCTAGGTGGGGAATTTTTTCACACTGTATAAGGTAGATGACTGATGCAGTCTGGGATGCATAGAGTGGATCCTGCCATTGAGAGCCTGGACCTTCTGCATGTGATGTGAACACAGCCCCTGGAAGTGCCAGACAGCAACTTAGCCTCTAGCTTTGTCTCACAACAGAGGAATACACAGAAAGTATCAGTAGTATTGCAAGAAAGATTGACTTTTCATCCACTAAAAAAAAAATTAAAAATCCAACTCTCAAAGTAATCCCAAAGAAGAGGGATGGCCAAGCAAATGTCATTTACAATTTCTAGCTTTGCAACATCCTGTTTGGTCTAGCTGCCTGCTCTCAGATACCTCACTAACAATGTCTGAAAGCTACAGGGCAAGCTTGACTTCAAGAATAGGAACTTGAAGAGAATTGGGATTATTCAGCCTGGAGAGAATGCTTCATGGTGACCTAACTGTGGCCTTCCAGTGCCTGAAGGGAGCCTACAAGAGGATGGAGGTGGACTTTTTCCAAGGGTATGTTGGAAAGCACAAAGGACAAAGGGGAATGAATTCAAACTGAAAGAGGGTAAGTTTATATTAGATATTAGAAGCAAACTCCTTACTGTGAGGGTGGTGAGGCAGTGGAACAGGCTGCCCAGAGAAGTTGAGGATGTGCTATCCCTGGAAGTGCTCAAGGTCATGTTTAATGGGGCTCTAAGCAACCTGGTCTACTAGAAGCTCTCCCTGCCCATGGCAGCGGGGCTGGAACTAGGTGATCTTTAAGGTCCCTTTCTACCCAAGCCATTTAATGATTTTATGAACCTAAAGCTAGGACATTTTTTACATATTTGAGGCAAAGCACTAAACTCTAAGCACGACTCTTTGATCAGGAGCTCATTGCATACACGCTGTCATGAAAACCTGTGTCAGACACATTCCTGGCGCAGCTGTGTTGTGGATTTTCCTGCTGCTCAAGCAAGGTCACCAGACAGCTACACTGGGAGATTCTTCTTTTGGGGGAGAGACGGCAGGAGGTCAGAACTCACAAGTCAGGGCTGCCACTTGGCCTCCACATCAAGTTTATGCAACAGTCTGGAGAAGGTGCATCTTCTTTTGAAGCCTTCACTTTCTTCAGGCTTTGGATCCAACACCTGTGAGCAGCTTAGGATATTGTGCTTGTACTGAGGCAACATCATTATGCCAAATCCCCTCACTGGTGGATGCAGTAAATAATTTTTGTAAGGAAGACCCAGAAAGAGCAACTATTTAGGCTGCTATTATCACAGCTGCCTTGAAAGCAAACATGCAAATTCTGCTTGCCACAGTTTTCAGCAGTACCACTTACAAGCTAAACTCACTCTGGAGTTAGCAAACATAACGCCCAAGAAACAGAAGCTGCATTTGCTTGTAGCATGCCTAAAATTGGTCTTCTGTCTTCACAACTTTCTTACTTTAACTACAGTGTTTTTGAAAATAAGGGGGAGAACTTTAGGAGTAAAAGGAGAGCCAGAGTTACCTGGGAAGTCTGTACAGATACAAATGTCTCTTTCTCTATATTTTGCAATATATGCTTTAACTTCATTTATTAGCTTTTGATAATAACCTTTAGCACAAAGTACCCCCATGAATAAATATAAGTTTTGTTCTACTGAGACAAAGTTCAGAGTTTTCAACACAATTGGTCACAAGTGATGGAGTAGCTGTCTCATTTGGGGTAGACACAAGTAACCCAGGTGGAGGATCATCCCCCCATGAATTTTCAAGCTTTTTCTCAACCGATTGTAAAAAGTATGGACTTCTTCCAGAAGCCCTATTAGTGTGACCTGCCACCACTCAGAATAGGACAAGTACAAAAGCAGAAGAATGCACAACTTGAAAACAAAGTTATTTTTACTAAGTCTCTGAATGATTAAAAGACATACTAGACTATTTACTATTTCTGTGCTCTTCATGGAATATTGGATTTGAAATTCAATTTAAAAGTCTGCCTGGTCCAGAAAGATTAATGATTCAGATTTATTTTAAAAGAGAACACTCAAGGACTTTTAGGGAAATCTCTGATGGTAATACCTTAACTTTGAATCAGCTGTTTAGTTTACATTGTCCTCTGCTTCTCTCTTTCTAACACACATCCCCCTGTCCTTTTTAAAACTACCAGGACTGAATCCTGTCACTCTAGGATTATGTGCTATTCATCAATCTAAAGACAGAGTAATTTAA